GGGGGGGGGGGGGGGCTACATGATTGCTGACCACAAAAACAAGAATTTCAAACGTGCGGGCTGCAGGGAGCAAGCCTTTTCTCATCACAGCCTTTATGCCAAGCCCCGGCGTCTGGCAGCACAGGCGGGGAACAACCAGGCCGTTAACGGCTCGAAACGGCAACGAAGCCGCCGACCTCCCCGAATTTGAATTCCTCTTACCCGCCCAGGAAGGCCAGGGCGCGAGCGGGACCAAATACCGGAGGCACCCCGTCTCCAGGACTGGCGGGCGTTGGATCAGGATATTACGCACCTTTCGATAATCTTGTCAGCTTACTCTCTGCGATGTGAAGAACAACATGCTGACTATTTGCCATCGTGTCATCGCCCTTTTCCCTCTCTCCACAGAAAGGACGCTGAGCATCTGCATTCATTGTAAATACGACTTTTTACAAAACAGAAGGATTTGGGGCACTAGAGGATTCCTAACATTGATATTGGTACGTGGTTTTGTTCAATGTTTGCGTTCGGGATTCGGAACTCAGGGTCTCCCGAGGTCCTCATGGCTTCTAGAGGGATGAGCAAATCATGTGTGTTCGTGCGGGTGACATATCAAAATTCGGATCGAACATCGAACAAGAAGTCGGCATGGTCTGATATCGGGTATTGGGGAGATGAGCTTATGATTAAAATTTTATGCATTGGAGCTGGACTGAAAATTCGCTCGCCCACAACGGCCAGCATTCCGTGATGCTCATATGTAATTTTCAACATGAAGCTCTTTCTTATTGTCATACCTCGAGGAGTGCATGCTAGGTAAATACTTAGACGTTTCTTTGCTAAGCTCACTCTGTAAGTATCCCGCCGTTGTGTTGCTATACTATCTATATCCAGACAGGGCCTCTTTTTATAACCGCATGACCGCCGCCTATCCTCCTATCGCCTAATATGACCATGGGCGGAGCTTTCACTCACATTCTCCGCTCCAGCTGGGTTTCAAACCTGCTATGGACCGGCGGCGGCCTTCTGGCATTGGGCTTGGGCACGCTGTATTATTTTCAAGACAATTTGCTGTACCATCCCTCCATCCCAGGCATGCCCAAGTCTCCCCGAGAGAACCCCCCCGGATATCGCTCTCCGGCCGAACACGGCATCCACAACTTTGAAGAGCACTTCCTCAAAACTGAAGATGGCGCAACTATTCACGCTTGGCTCTTGCTTCAACCTGACTCAGCCAGCATCCCCACGGTCGTGTACTTTCACGGGAACGCGGGGAACATGGGCTTCCGTCTTCCACACGGCAGCAATCTGTACAAACAATGCCGGGTGAATGTGATGATGGTGGATTATAGAGGTTACGGCTCCAGTAAAGGTACGCCAAGCGAGGAAGGCCTCAAGGCGGACGGACGCGCGGTCCTGACCACCCTGCGTGCCCATCGGCGGGTGGCGCCCGATCAGATCGTGCTTTACGGCAAATCACTGGGAGGAGCCGTTGCTTTGGCCTTGGCTGAGGAGCGCCCGGATGAAGTTCTGGCAGTGGTATTGGAAAACACTTTTTTGAGCATTCCAGCCATGGTCGACGTGCTCATGCCCCTAGTCAAGATCTTCAAAGGGCTGATCCTGCGGATCGGTTGGCGCAACGACAGGCGCGTGAGCCAGCTGGCCCACCCCATCCTCTTTATGTCCGGCCTCGCCGACGAGCTAGTTCCTCCGTCGCACATGCGTCAGCTCAAAGAGCTGGCGGTTCGCTCTGTCTGGGCTCAGTTGTATACCGTCGCAGACGGCCAACACAACGATACGTGGTTTCGGGGCGGCATCGCTTACTACCGCAACTTCCGGGACTTCCTTGGAAAGGTAGCGGAGTTGGTTGCAGAAGGCAAAGCGGGAAGCAAGGCTACCAACGCTCAGAATGTATGTGCGTCGACCAGCTCCGTGACGGCAAACGTAGGTGGAGAAGGTCTGCAAGAGGGTATAGCAGGGGGAAGCATTCCAGTCATGCCTCCTGCCTCGCTTTACAACGTCCCTAGTACCGCGGCTTCCGTCGATTTAAAGACCAAGAAAAGCGATTGAAGAAGTACTCGTTGTGTGGGAGGAGTGTAGGTCAGCAAGTGAAACAATCTCCGCAAATGCTAGTTCGCGTGTGAATCATGTATAAAGCCAAATGAAAAAATTATCAGCTGACTCTCGCTTGTAATTCGGCTCACACATCATATTTATTGGGCTTTCTGATTACATCGTGGTGGGGCGTCGCGAGTTTGACCCGAAGAAGTGCTCGAGAGGCTTGGCATCAGGCCGCGCCGGCGGTAGTTTTTTTTTCTTCCCCCCCCTGCTGCTACAATTTACATTTTCAGACCGCCTGGACTTTTTGTTGGCTGTGGCCTTATCCTCTGCATCGCATGGCTTGGTTCCCGCTCGATGTACATCTCCTTTCTTCGATTCTTCCGGCATCTCTTTTTCCAGAAAGTACGGGTCCGACTCCCGAAGGCAGGAATCGACATGCCTGTTTAATTCTGACAGGACCACAGACAGGCGCTGGTTACACAGAGGGCACGTATAGACAGGAACTTGCTTCGTCACCGTGGCCCGCGTCGCCTCTTTTCCTCCCCCTGCAGGGGATAGGAGGTCAGCGTCCACATCAACAAGCGGCGGCCCGGTGGAAAACGACCCGCTCTCTCCTAACCGCGGCGGCCTCCCCAGTGAAGATGGAGACGCGACTCTTTTCGCAGACCCCGAGGGTGGTCTCTCGGCCATTGCAGCCTCGAGGCCCGTGGCCACATAGGCCTCCAGGCACCCTTGGCCTTTGGGAGGCGCCTGAGGCTTGGGCTGAAAGTGGGAGGCACGGACCCCCACGAGCCGGAGGGTGACAGGCAGCTGCGGCAAGAGGAGGGAGAGCGCGTGCTGGTACAGCTCTTGAGATGTGGAGACGTAGAATGCGCAATTCTTCGCCCTGGTGGTCACGGCAAAGTCGCTGCTCTTGAGTTTGAGCGTGAGGTTCTTGGCTTTGAGTCCCTCTCGGGCCATGTCCGCAGCGAGGGAATCGCAAATCAGTCGGAGCTTCTCCAACAGGTCCTCTTTCCGACTCAGGGCCGCGAAGGTTCGCTCCCGGCTGATCCCCTTCCGCCCAGTCCTCTGTCCACCGGGCCCCTCCTCCGGATCAACAAGCCCCCCCCCGTCAAGGCCGACGCTCTTGCAGAGGAGCCAGCGGGCGGTCTGTGGCGTGTAGACATGGTAGAGGAGGGCCCGCTTGGCCCACAACTGGAAGCATGTCTGCACGTCCAGGCCAGCGACCAGACACCTTTCCGTGATGCGCCCTATTCCGCTCACTTTACGCACTGGCGCGTCCCTCAAGAAGCTTGCCACGTCTCCGACTCGAAACTGTCCGTTCGGTTTGTTCTCGTTGGACGCCATTTTGGCCAGACAGAAGCTCGTCGCAATGCCGGCACTGGCAGTCACGCCTGTCACCCCATGGATGCGCCGACGTATCTCCTCCACGACCCTCTCCGCAACTCCCCAATAGGATGCCTCCCTCTCTTGTATTGCCCTCTCTCGCACTTCCTCTTCTTCCTCATCCACTCCCATGGCGCCCCAAGCCGCTCCTCCCTCCCCCTCATTGTCCTCTACACCCCGGAAGCCACTCGACAAAGCCGTCACGGGGGCGAACAAGGGCGTGCCGGGCTTCTCCTCCGGCGTCGGAGGCTCCCCGCCCTGGTCGCCTACCGCCGCGTGCACGTAGGCTGTCAGGTCCAGATACGCCTCGTCCAGACTCCCGGCGCGGAAGCGAGGGTCATAGTCCCGAAAAATTGCCCGCGTTTGCTCCGCCACCGTCTGATAGGCCTCGAAGCGCGTAGAGCGAACCAAGAGCTGGGGACAGAGCTTCCGGGCGATGAAGAGCGGCATGGCGCTCCGCACGCCGTATTTTCTGGCCTCGTAATTGGCCGTGGAGATGACGCCGCCACCGACGGCAAAAGGGACCTCCCTCAGAGCTGGCTCGTCCCGCTCTTCCACGGAGGTGAAGAATGCGTCCAAGTCGACCACGACGCAGACCTGGCGCCAAGTTCGATACGCTTTCTCCGCCGCCGCCAACTCTCTGTCCGCCTCTGCCTCCAGGCTACGACGGAGCGGCTCTGACAACATATTCAGCTTGGATTGCATCACCTGAATCCGCTCTTGAACCTTGAGGTCATTTCTTTGTTGAGCAAGAAAGAACTTACTGTTCTTGGAAGCTTCGTGCACGATGCGTTCGACCTCCTCCCTCGATCGCTTCTTCTCGTCCATGCCCGCCTTGTCACCAAGAAAGGTGTAGAAATGCCTTGTATGCCTCGTGCTATCCAGCGCTGCCACATAACATGTACTAGCCGTCTTCTGCGGGCCAGAGGTACTGCGAGGAAATGAGTGGGATGGTGAGGTGCGGGAAATGACAGCATCCGCACCGTCAGGAAGAGGGAGGGCAGAAGTGTTTTGCTCAGAATGGACCACTTTCTTTTCCGCGCTTGATAGACAATGTTTCGTATGCCCGGATCTTTGTATAACAGTATCTGAATTTGCACCCAATGCAGATGGTGAGGCGGATGAAGTGTTGCGGCCGCGGGCGTCCTCCATATCCGATTCCCACACCTCGTCTCCATCCTCCTGCGTCTGCGTGAAAAAAAAATCCTCTTCGTCCGCGTCATTTCCGACAATATCTTCCATGCTAGCATTTTTCCCCGCCATGGCCGTGTCGTACTGACCAATGTCGTTCAAGAAATGCGAGTGCTTTTAAAGCCTAACCCTCTCCCGGTACTGTAACACAGGCAGGAGGTCGGCTTTGCCCGTCGTCATCGCCCCTGAAGCGAAAACTCGCGGGTGCCTGCAGTCATGACAAGATCCTGGCCACTCCTACTCCTGGCCACTCCTACGCATCGTGCGAAAATGATGTTATGCTTTAAATTGGATTCCTGACATCAATCCGGCAAAGCGCCAGCGCGCAGGCCCTCGCTTGAGGACTCGAGGTCCTTTTCAGCGATGTGGGTGACTGAGACATCGACAGCTTTCTTGGGCTTTGACTCATGTTGTGGAAAGGCGCGAGCTAACACACCGACGAGGATTGAGCAAATTTTGTTTTTCAACACACAGGTCAACGCTATGCCCGCTTTAGATCAAAATTGCGTCCACTTTTCCGGGCTTTGGATCAGCATGAAGCCAGGAGAAGCAGCGGAAACAGTTTGCCAATAAAATTACATACGGGCAGATTGGTGCAGTCCTACCCACGATTCTATAAATTGTCGTTTGTGCTGGATCCTGACGACAGTGTCACGTAGCATTTGATATCTTCAGGCCCGCAAAAGAAGCCGGGGAGGATGGAGGGGATCCGGCAGGTGCTGTTTGATCAGTTGGGGTTACGCTATACCTTCCCATCGAGTGAGTCACTGGCACATTCTACTCGCTGCTTACTCTACGAGGATGAAGGCGGGATCAGCGAGGGCGACAGTGGCTGGGAGGACGGTCCCTCCATTCCCCAGAGGCATCCGCGGGAGGTGGTGGTGAAGGCCTGCCCCCGCGGCGCCGAGGACGCCCTGCTTGCGATACTCAGCGGTCTCTACGACTCGTGCCGTGTGGTGGAGGCCGCGTCAGCCAGTGCACCTTTGTGGCACCGCCTGCCGCCTTCGCCCATGTATCCAAAGCATCCAGGCTTGCTGCCCCTTTTAGCCCTCTGCCGCGGCCGTGACGGAGGCCTGTTCTTTATATCCGAGTACTACCCGCAAAACCTGCTGACTTTGCTTCATTTCAGCAGCCAGTCACTATTGGAGTCGAGTTTACTTGGCCGCAACTCACGGGAAAGTGTGATGGACCTTCGCTTATTTTTCCTCTTCTATCAATTGGTACGCACACGACTGTCAGAGCGTTGGGAGGGTCTCGGGGAAGGCAAACCGTCACGCGACGCACGTCAATGGTCGTCCTAGTTCCCTCATTTCCCCTGTCCCTCTCCTCCAGATACGCATCTTGGCCTTCTATCACAAGCATCCGGGCCGGTCCCTGGGCAACCTGGCGGTCACATCCGTCTACGTCTCCGACATGATCTGGCTCCGAGTGCTGCCCCCCCCGCCAACCCCCCCCCTCGCG